ACCTCATGGTATGCACTCAGATAGTATGCTGTCGCATCGGCCTCCGCTGCACGTCGGTCGATACTTCCGCTGTACTGTCTCTGTGCATACTTTGATGTATCCTCGTAATAACCTCATATTATGCACAAAGACTAAATAAATTATATCACTCTTCAGTAGTACCATATGACCTAGATAATATGATATTGTAGTCAGATATTCGCAAAGCATAATACATTATATATTTTGCATATGAATGCACTGGTGTATGAACTTCCTGTAATATCATGCTTCAACTTAAAAGCACATATTTTTATCTAGATTAAATTGTACACAGACAATGGGGATCAACATGTAACCAGTCAACAAAAATGACATGTACTGATTCTCCACACAATAACTCCACAATACAATCCCCTGGTTATAATGTGCCAAGAACATACATGTGGGACATTGTAAATATGACTGCTACAACTACTACTTGTAAACATGTATGTTTATGGTAATAATAATTCTTTGAACACCAAAGTCAATTTTTTTTCACTTTTAACAAATTACCACTATCTATCTTCAGTAATTGTTTTGAGGTCAAAAATAATGATCAAGACCCATATCCCACACTAGATGCTAGCCACTAATTTGGTACAAAAATCAAAGTGATTAAAGAAAAATGTCTAAAAATGTACAAAATGTTTTGTCATTCAAAAAGTTCAGATTAATTATTAAAATTCAGAAGAAAATATGCACAAAAAAACAAACACAAAAATGGTGATTATGACCTATAGAGAAGATCTTCCTCCTTTGGATCTATATATAATATGGTATTAATAACATGGAATAAACAGCATCACTGGAATGACTGACAAGAACTTCTAAGTACAGTTTATATTAAACGGATCTTGTTTTCAAGCCTACACTCTGAAATAATTGTTGTGGTGTCCTCAAAAGGTCAATTTAATTAACGTATAGAAAAGTGAGTTGTTCGGCCATGAATGTTTTGTCATAGTTTATAATGCCAGCCTCAATAATAAAGCCACTAATGCCCTTCTGATATCAAGCAAGTACAAATTTAGCTGTACATTTTTAATAGAGACTCGTCATGGTGACAGCTTTTCATATACTGTCAAACGTACAATTTTCGTCGGGTATAATGTTCACCATTAAATGATTTCAGAACATTTATGAATATAAAATTTCGTCACATTTTTCCGCACAAAGCAGTTTATAGTATTCAGCAATTCAATTCAATTTAAATTGTGAATTAGATTTTAATTAAAAACTAAAGAAAAAAGTGGATTATTTGGTCATATATATGGGTCTTTCGCCTTTACATTAAAGTGGAATATTACTATAATACATACTTAATATATTAAAATTTCAATACGAAACAAAAAAAAAGATTAATAAATGTGTATCAATTTTATCCACTGGGTAGGGGAAAAATAAGCAATGTGCATTTTTTGTATATTTACATCTGTGTAAGAAAAATAAGGTTGTATGGTATGCTGGTGAACAGTGATCTAAAATGATGCACTGTGAACCTGGGTTCCAATCAGGACGAGTGTAACTACCTAGTACATTATTCCCGGGGCAGACATCTGGGCATTTTCAACACCTGGCAACCATCACGGTGAAAACAAAGGCCGAAAACTTTCATAAAACAGTACTTTAGAATGGTTGTTGAGACTAAATATATACATTCCGTTGCTCAGGGTTACTTCAAAATTGAGTTTGTGTTGTTTTCTCGAATTTAGCCTTTTCACCGGCTCTTTGACCGGCGTTCCACAGCAGCTCGCACAGAACCCATAGAAATACATGGTGGGAGTGGTGCGCACATTAGCAACATAGAATATTCTGTGACGTAGCTCCGCCCCCGAGGATAACATTTTTGAAGAATATCTACCATGGATCATTATTATACCTCATGACCATGACAGCCAATCAGATTACCGTATTAGAGGCACAGTTTTGTTTGATTTTGTTACATATTTTGACATATTATGTACAGTGTATTTGTTGAAAGAGAATGGTGTTGACATAAACCTGTACTCAAGCAGTGTGCAGCTCCGAGTGCAGCTCGTTTCAGTGTTCTACATGTAAATCGAACTGGAATACAATGTAGCGTATAGCTGTGCACAGGATTGCGCCGGATGTTGTTGCAAAAATCAATTCTTCTACAAGCGTGAACTTAAGTTTGCCATGATTGAGTGCCAAAATTTCTGTTTTAAGATTTATTCAGTATAATAATACAAATGTACACCCCAACAGCAGTGGACATACAGTTTTAGAGACTCTCAGAGC